TATATATATATGACAAAAACAAAACCTTAAGTACTGTCGCCTCTGCAAATCTGASCCTGTGTCAGTATGCAGTCCAAATAAATCAGCTCAATCATCACAGATCTGATGGTAAAAAGTGAACTTCTTTCCTTTCATGTGTTTATCCCTCTGCAGCTCATGTGGAGAGTTTCATCTCTGATTTCACTATTTTTAAAACAGAAAATTACCGACCTTTAATGGTCTGAATGAAAATGTAGAATTTTTTGAAGGTTGAAACAGCTGAGCTCCAYGCACTCTTGGTTTATTCGCTCACTTTTCTCTTTCTGCCTGTCCCTCTCTGTGCAACAACCCCTGTTTTCCCTCCACAAACACCAAACCTCTTCAGCCACAGGAGCTGACAGACGTTTTGGAGATCAGTAATATGGTTTTCACCAGTCTCTTCAGCCTGGAAATGCTGCTCAAGCTCCTGGCTCTCGGTCTTTTTGGCTACATCAAGAACCCTTACAACGGCTTCGACAGCATCATTGTCATAATCAGGTGAGGAGAAAATGCTCGTATGCCTGTTTATCACCAAACAGGGAAATGGTGTGATTAAATCCCCCCTCTTGTTACTGGGGAATCCTTTTGATCCTTGCAGCACAGCTTTGCAGCTGCTGTCACAGTGATGCTGATTGAAGTAGCAGAGCCAAATGATAGCAGAGTCCAGAGGGCCTGTGTTCACTTTATTATGTAGGACTACAAGCTGAATTATGGATCTGTGTTTGAAGCTTGTTTACAGTGTCCTTTCACACTTCTCTTCTTCTCATTATTAGTTGGAGGCCTGGAAACCAGTACGGCTCATTTTGTGTTTTAAGTATCCCTTTAAAATGTGAGCCATCATGACAAAATGAGCCAGAATGAGCTCAGGCTGCAGAACAAATTTCATGAAATAAATGATTTTTTTTAGCATAACTGAAATTTGTATATAAAGATCTAGTGATTTGAAATAGCACATATTCTACCTTTAAATCAGAGTTTTCTAACAGGTATGTTTTCAAAAATAATCCTCTTCATTTTCTTTGAAACAGACCTTTTTTTCTGCCAGGGAATCCCTTCATGTAATGTTTGGTACGGAGCCCGCGAGAGGACATGTGGGGGATTTTTTTTCTTTTGTGTTCCCTCGCAAAAGTCATTTATCACTGTTGTGCCTGCCGGTTTATTAACACATTTACATGTTCAACATTAGCGAGTTAGCCTACTACTTTAATTCAGCTTCAGAATGAATATATCACACAGCCACGCATGGAAGTATCGTCATATGGCGATACTTTAACACAGTGCAGCCACGCAACATCAGTGTCAATTTCACCAACTGTGGCGACACATCCTGTTTTGGTAACCGGATATTTCAAAATAAAAGTCTGTTTTAATTCAGTTCATATACAAAACAAACTTTTGCGTGGGAACGCAAAACAATTTTGCGATGTAATGCAAAAAGTTTTGTGAGGTAACGCGAAGATATTGCGAGGTAACGCAAAAGTATTGCATGGGAACGCAAAAGAAAAAAAATCCCCCCCATGTCCCCTCGCGGGCTCCGTAGTTTGGCATCATTGTAAAGTTTGGAGATTCCCCTTTTTAAATAGACTGTTGGAATTACTGATGACATCATGATAGACCAATAAAAAAGTAGTTTTTAGAGCTGCACTCTCATAAACAAAACTAGCTTGTTGCAAGGTGATAAATCACCAAATGTCAACAGACTAGGTGTCATTTTGAAGCTTTGGAGATGGAGAMCTTGAAAATATTAAGTCAGTGGTAAAAAATAAATTGTCATTGTGGCTTATTTTGGCAGAATGAATCACAAAAAAAATCACCTCCTGTCTCTCCAAAGTGATTTTTTTATGTTTTTGGTGGGTGACACTGATGGTAACCTTTAGCTAACAGTTCCTGTTAATTGATTTTGTAGGTATCCTTTTCATGGTTTGTAACCTCTGTGTGTTTCAGCGTGTGGGAGATCGTGGGTGAGGCTGAGGGAGGCTTGTCGGTGCTGCGAACTTTCCGTCTTCTGAGAGTTTTGAAGCTGGTTCGGTTCCTGCCTGCATTAAGGAGGCARCTGGTGGTGCTGATGAAGACCATGGACAACGTGGCCACATTCTGCATGTTACTGATGCTCTTTATATTCATATTCAGGTATGGTGTTTGTTTTTCTCAAGGTGAAACTATGAGTTTAGACACAATTTATAGAAATTCCTTGCCTTTTACCTGCCTTTTAAACACATTATTCTTTAACCTATGATAGTGATGTGAACTGACTTTTTATACCAAACATTTAAACATATTTGATCATGTTTAACATGGAAAACACATTTGACAAGCAGCACTCCTGCAAGTTCTTACACAGTTGATACATTATGATGCAATGAAGATATTATAACAATAATAGTTATTATTTTTGAATTAATTTGTGTTTTGCAGCATTTTGGGGATGCATCTGTTCGGCTGTAAGTTTGGTTTGCGACAAGTCAGCGGAGACACTTTACCTGATCGAAAAAACTTTGATTCCCTGTTGTGGGCAACAGTCACCGTGTTTCAGGTTAGAACAAAAAAACTTTAATCACACACACACACACACACACACACACACACACACACACACACACACAC